GATAATGATAATGATAATGATAATGATGGGGATAAGGAAAATAAGGACAATCATGATAAAAATGATAAGTATGATAATAGTGATAATGCTGATAAAAATAATGATATTGACAATAATATTGATAATAGTAATGGCGATTAAACCGATAATAATGACAATGATGATATTGTAGAAATGATAATGCATTGCAGTAATACTATGAATAATAATATTTATAATAATATGAAAATAAGTAGGACAATACGAATAAGAATCAAGATAAGAAAGATAATCGTAATATTGATAATTATTTTTTACATACGAATATTTGTTAGTGTTGATACGAATACGAATACGAATTTTGATAGTGATGAATTGAATACGAATGTTAATAGTGATGATCATGATTTAATGATGATAGTAATAATAATAATAATAATAAATAGTATTAATAATAAGAATAATAATAGCAGTATTTATAATAATAATGATGATAATAATAAGGAGAATCAGAGTAATGATAATAACAATAATAATTATAATAATAATAATAATAATAATAATAATAATAATAATAATAATAATAATAATAATAATAATAATAATAATAATATAATAAATAATAAATAATAATAATAATAATAATAATAATAATGATAATAATAATAATAATAATAACAATAACAATAATAATAGTGATCAAGACGATATTAATGATAATTATGATCATTATAATGAAAGTAAATATAATAGGATGATTAAAATAATTACAGTGATAATAACTGTGTTCATAATAGTCCTGGTAATAAAATAAAAATTATGACATTAACAATGTTAATGATAATGATCTTGATAATGAATACAGTAATAATAGCGAAAATAACAATGATAATGATAATAATAATAATAATAATAATAATAATAATAATAATAATAATTAATATTATTATCATAATGATAAAAACAGTAATGATGCTAATGATAATTATGATAATAATGATTGAAATAATAATGAAGATAATAACAATGATAATAATAATAATAATAATGATAGTAAAAATATGAGCAATGATAATGATAGTAAAAATATGAGCAATAATAATGATAATATTGATAATAATAATAATAATGATAATAATAATAATAGTAACATTAATAATCCAAATGATAATAATGGTAATGATAATGTCAGTGATAATAATCATGATAATGAAAAGGAAATAATATTAGTTATAATAATGATAATGATAATGATGATAATGATGCATCAACAATAATATGGCTGAAGAACTGCAACAATGATAATGATGTAAAAAAACAAAAACGAAAAAAAAAACACTGGGAATCTTCAAAACAGAATCAATAAAGTCAATAACAATAACATATATAACAAACCCTTTATTCCCCCCTCCCTTTTTTTTTACTGATGAGAAAATCATTTTAAAAGTCACTTCGAGTACCGTATGAATACACACATTTCCTGGAAAATGTTTCGTCTTTGCAATAGGCAAGGATCAGCAACCTTTAGAAAGTCTGGTTTAGTAAGTGTTAGCCAACCCTCGTTTTCTCCGCGTCTGTAGAGGTCTGGTTCATTCACGTATGAGGAACAAGAATGAATAAAAGGAAGAAAGAAGGAAACCAAGTCCTTCTGAATGAAAAGATTCCCGATACTCTTCAGAAGGTCGGCTTCCGTCTTGCCAGTGAGCTAATCCTGTCTGTGACTTGTGACATAGAAAGAAAAGGAGAGAGAGAGAGAGAGAGAGAGAGAGAGAGAGAGAGAGAGAGAGAGAGAGAGAGAGAGAGAGAGAGAGAGAGAGAGAGAGAGAGATTGAGATTTTATTTTGTCAGTAGGTCTACCTGTCTCCTGAGAAAAAGAAAAGGTCTCCCTGTCTCCACCTTCCCCGATAGTTTGGTCCTCGTCCTAGTAATTTGGAATCTGTGGCCGCAACTTTAAATCCCGCGAAAACACCCTCTCGGCTCAGACATTACACTGCCGAGATTCCGTCCCTTGCACAGGCGATTTTCTTCCAAGGAGCTTTTCTACAGGCATCATCCGGATAAGGTTGATATTACGCACACGTACAGTGCACGCGGGCACACACACACACACACACACACACACACACACACACACACACACACACACACACACACACACACACACACACACACACACACACACACACACACACACACACACACACACACACACAGACAAATACATACATACATATTCTCTCTCCCTCTCATTTTTTTCTGCCTCTCTTTCCCACTTTTTCTGCGTGTTTGTGTATGTGCTGGTTCGTGTCTGTGTGTGGGTGGAAAGAAAAAAGAATCGCGAAAATATCATTAAACTTTTTTTTTTTTTTTTTTATCTGCGCACGAACAGGTCTCGCGGACTTTTAAATCCAAAATCTACACAACGTCAAGAAATCTTAAGCCCAAGCCGCAGCCATTCCAGTCCTCAACAACAGCGAACGAGTACCAAGTAAGCATGAAAGACTTTTATGCTTGACAGACCAACTATAGTCCGTCTGTCGGAAGTGCTGGCCATTGCTTGCGCCATGTTCGGCCAGCCTGTTGTGTGCACTGCATATATCTACATACTGAGGATGTTAGTCACGTACATGATGGAGTGGCGTCCATGTTTTTTTTTCCGCCGCCAACACTCTTTCACGGATTCGGACACGAGTTTTGTAGGTTCGAACACTCAACGGCGAATCTGCTCGCTCCATTGGCTGGACAAACAACAGGTAAAGATGCTTTGAATTCGGATTCAGTCCATCTCTTTTCAGCGAAGGGGAAAAGGCTGGAAACGTTTTATCGCAGGATACTGCTATTTTTTTTACTCTTTTTTACTTTTTTTTATTAATTATTTTTTTCGTTGCCATTTGTCGAATACTTTATCTTCTATTGATGTTTTGTGTTCTCGTATAACAGCTGATATTGATGTGATTTACTTTAAAACTATTGCCTTTATTGTTCTCGTCTCTTCACTGTCATCATCATTATCATTATATCGTAATCATTGATATTAGATTACTATGATTATTATTTATGCTTCATCATCAGTTTCTGGTATCTTTTACTATCACGACGCAATCACGGTCATTTCTTAGTCTTTTTTGTAGTATGATAATGGTTTACATTTTTAATGAGGATGAAGTTGATAATAATGTTAATGATAATGATAGTGATAATGACAATAAGAACAGGTAATAATGAAAAGAATGAAGATAATGATAATAACAGAACCAATAACCATATTATTTCTGATACTAATGATAATACTAATGATAATGAAGAAGATTACAGCAGCAGCAGCAATATAGTATTAATGACAATAATGATAAAAGGATGATTACGATAATGATAAAAATAATGATAATACTAATAGTGATAATGATAACAAGGAAAATGATGATGATGACAATGATAATAATAATGGTGATGATGATGATGATGTTGGTGATGATAGTAATAATTGTCATAATGAAAGCAACAATAATAAAAATAATGATGGTAACGACAAGGATGATAATACTGATAACTATAATAGTAATAATGGTAATGATTATGATAAGGACAATGATAATAATGATAATGATAACAATAATAGTAATAATGGTAATGATAATGATTATAATTTCTTTTTCTTTTCTTTTCTTTTTCTTTTTTTTCTCCCCCCCCCAAAAAAAAAAAAATCAAATTTGATTAACGAATCAGAAGAACAAAGGAAAATATCACGAAATTCTCGGAAAACAGAAATCTCAGTAATATAATCTTTTCATCTCTTTGAACCCTGTTTGATTCAAGGAAAAAAAATATATATACACATATATTTTTTTTTTTACGAAGAGGTGTTATCTGCGTAGTCTTAACGAAGATATTCTGAAAATAATGTAAATATTTAATCCTTTACACTCTCTCAGACTTATTTCCCATTGCTTTCTATCGTATTTGTAACTCTTTTTTAAATCTCTCTTTCCAGTCTTTATCTATCTATCTATCTGTCAATCTTTCTCTCTCTCTCTACACACACACACACTTCCTTTTTTCTTCACTTCCCTTTCCCCCCCCCCCTGCTCTCTCTCTTGTCTTTCTCTGCTATATATATGTTTTGTTCTCTTCTCTCTCTCATCTTTCTTCCTTAATTTCGTTCTCGCTCTTTCTTTCTTTCCTCTCTTCTTCGCCTCTCTCCTGCTTCGCGACACAATAGTCTAAAAGCCTGGATTTTGGTAAAACCTCGCTAAAAGTCTACTCTTTCTGTCAACTGTCTCAAGCTGCTCTCTCTTGCCAAAACCCTCGCTCCTCTCTCTCTCTCTCATTCTCTCTCCTCTCTCTCTCTCTCTCTCTCATCTCTCTCTCTCTCTCTCATCTCTCTCTCTCTCTCTCTCTCTC